CCCGTGGTACTGCAGAAATCAGGTCTGGGAATTCAGGAATCTCAAAGATCATACCATCTTCTATGCGTCTTTGTAAAATTATGTATCGTTTTTCATCTGTTACTCCTCCCTTATACCCAGAATTAGTATCTGGCCTTCCTTAGTTGCAAACTGCATCCTTTTACCTTATCGTCCTTGCTCTGGCTCATGAGAATTTTTCCAGGTAATTTTTACGTGTTTTGCCTTTTCCAAAACCCTTTCTGACCACATGTATGCAAATCTGACAAGATGAACATCAGTTCTGTTTTAAGTCAGACTAACTTCATGCAGCGTGTGTTTTTCTTAAACTCCATGACCACTGCAGCACTGTTTACTGCTCTGAACGCTTTCCTCTCATACTAAGCCAGAGCTCAGTGTGTTTGTGCTTAGTGTGCTTAGGATCTATCCACAGAACAGACTCCAGGAAGGCTGTTTTGTCTGGTTTTAAATAAGTTCTTAAAGCCCTCTGTTTAGGTTGCTGTGTTTAGTTCACTTGGAGCTTTATGGGCTTCACCACTTATTGATTTCGCAGAGGTGAACATTTTTGTACTGGACAGTGTTTATCTTCATCCTTTCTTTGGTAAAAGGGATGCAGTGAATTGCGCCCGTCGTACTCATTTAGAAATAGTGCTTTCAGTTTCTTACGTTAAAAACTGTCTGCTGATTCCAGCCTTTGCTTTATGTGTTAGCCAGTCTGTAATTTAGACAGGCACTTTATTTTCCACTTTAGGATTTCTTGTTCACCCTCAAAGGAGCTGCTGTTTTTCTTCCAGTGTGGTCGTTTGAAACCTGGTCACCACATCCCCTGCTTTTCAGAACAGCTTTAACTGAGTGTAAGGATGCCATAGTCACCCCCAAATCCACAAGAGAAGACATAAAAGCAAGCGCAATGCAGCATCACTATCATCTTCCTAAGTCGAGAGTCCTGAGCCATATCTCTTGGGGCTGAAAGCTGACTCATGCACAGCTTAGTCAAGCATTAGCAGTTGTGTTTTGTGGCATTTTTCAGTTCTGTCAGTGCCATGGGCATTCTCCAGCATAGGAAGCACAGCAGTTCTCCTGGGGCCTGAGGCTCCAACTATTGTACACAGAAAGAGGAGATTCAATACCTTGTAGGAGATTAATATTTCATAATCAGAGCCCCTTCATATCCCATGTTTGAGACATCCTGCTTTCAAATCAGATTTTGAGACCCTGAAGTCAGCTTCAGAGGATAGCTGCGTTGTACTTACTATGTGAACATATTTCTAGTATAAAAATACAGAGTAAACAGAGTTTAAAATACTTATGAGATAAAAAAAAAAAAATAATACTAATAAGAGGATTGAGTATACTCGTCGTCTTAGTTCACTGAATTCATTGTGCAACAGAATTCACAGCACTGTAGCAGGCCAGAAACCGTAAAGGATTGCTGCTTTTTTTTTTATTTCCCTTGGCAAAATAAAAGCCCTTGTATGTGGCACAGTAGCCATGTGCTCATGAAAATTGCAAGTTACAGCACTTGTATATTTGGCAGCAAATTTTTGATGGAAGCTTTATATTGACCAGAGATCTTACAGTATGTAAGACTTACAGAAATGAAATGGCCAGCATAACTTGAACTTATTCTTTTTTAATTTTTGTCACTTAATCTAAAGGTTTTCAGAGGGTTTCGTAACAGATTTGATATGGAGTTATACTCCGTGATACTATGGCATAGCAATATTGAACTGGATTCAGTGATAGAGGATGATTACATCTGGAAGAAGGTTCTAATGGACTTTGTTGCCTAGTATATGTCACTTCAATTCCTTCTAGGAATCACAAAATACCCATTATGTGCAGAATAAGTCAAAGAACCCAAACAGGCTATGTGTACCCTAGACTGGCCTTCCAATACTTGAAGGGAACATATAAACAGGAGGGGGAACAGTTGTTTATGAGGGTGGATAGTGATAGGACAAGGTGGAATGGTTGTAAACTGAGGCAGGGGATGTTTAGGTTAGATATTAGGAGGAAGTTTTTCACTCAGAGGGTGGTGATGCACTGGAACAGGATGCCCAGAGAGGTTGTGGATGCCCCATCCCTGAAGGCATTCAAGGCCAGGCTGGATGTGGCTCTGGGCAGCCTGGTCTGCTGGTTGGTGACCCTGCACATAGCAGGGGGGTTGAAACTAGATCATTGTGGTCCTTTTCAACCGAGGCCATTCTATGATTCTATGATTAGCTGTAAATATTTTAGTTAGTCTGAAAATCATCCTTTAGAATATAATTGGGCTACCCAAAACGTAACGCCTGTGTAACAAGCAGGAAATCTGCTTCATTTTATTATACTGTATAACAAACAACACATGTTTTAGTTGTTAAATCAAATTATAATAAATAGATAAAAATTAGCAGATTTTCTCAAGTATTCTAGCTGATTAAAAACAACCGCCTATTTTGGCAGTTGCTTTGTTTCAAAGCAGTGCAAAGAATGAGAAACATGAAAAAACTGTGATAATTTTTCAGATTTTGCCATCCCTTTGTTGATATTATATATGGATTTTTTTTTATCAAGTGGAAACCTTGTACTGTGAGAGCATGGTGACTAGAGAATAGGCAAAGCACTGCAGACAAAGGCAGGATGGCATGAGTAGATGCAAATCTGGGGTTTACCGGGTGTTCAGACCCATGTTTAAAGAACTTTGGTTCGTTTGTAATTGAATCTGTCCTGATTGCAGCAGAAACAGTTAATTATTGTTAATTATTATTAATAGTCTATAAACTTACTTGTAGATGCTTCCAACACATATATAACCATGTATACTAGTTTAATATAGAAAACACTTTCCAAAGAAATCATATCTGTGTGAAGTCTTCGTTATTATTCATCTTCTCCTTAGTGTTGAAATTTTTTCTTCCAATTGAAGATTGAAATTGCCATGGCTTGGTGTCTATGCCATTGAAGATGTTATATATGCTGGCTAACATGGTTTGATTCCCTGTAGTAACCCTTGTTGGTGCTGTTCAGTTCTTAGTTGTAGGTGGAAGTGGCCTAGGATTAAAAGGAGGAGTTCAGAATTCCTCTAGAACTCTTCCTAGAGCAAGTGTGAATATTTGATACCCGTTTTTGAGAGAGCTATAAAATTGTAAATTCACAAATGCTTCAAGGATGTAAATGGCAAAGAAAAAGATGAAATCCTGACAGAGTGATTGAGCTATTGACTTGCAGGAGAAATGAAGAAAAACAAGTGGTGAGGAGCAGTCCTGTGTTGACATACAAATACTCAGACAAGTAGTAGTTTGTTATCATCCATCATCCTATTTATCCATGGTTTTGACATCTTCCTAACTAGTGAGAAGAGAGAAGCCTCTAACAACCATACTGGATCACAAGCCCTTCCGTTTCTCTTGGGTATTGGACATTTTGTAGCAGTTGGCTCATCTTTCAGAGTAGATGAAGAAAAGACCGTGAACTTTTTTACGGCTTCTTATAGCTAGAGAAATGTGTGTGAGGTAATGGAGCTAGTGCATAAATTCATTGGTCCTGTGTTTGAAATGCGAACCCAAATCCATAATTGTTATCATTGAGGTGTATATTTTTTGCAAAGTTTGACTATGCTTTGTGCTGTATAACGTGATACTTTGTCATGTTCTAGCATCATTTGCAAAACATTTGCAAGTAAACTACCTTTTGCTTCACCTGTGATTTGTTTGGTTTTATGTATTTTTTTTTTTAAAGCAAACCCAAATCTGTCCCCTGAAAGTTATGTTTTGCTTCTGCATCTAAAAGTTACTCTGTGGCACATTTCAACTGTATCAAGTAATATTTATGTGGGAGTTAGAACAGCTGTGCAAATGGCTGTGGAAAATTCTCTTTCTTCCCCCTAGAAATGTTAGATGTCACTTGATATACTATAAACCTACCTATTTTATTTCTGAATTTGTTTAATTTTGGAAGAGAGAGCTTACACCTGTTGTTATCATTGAGGTGAAATGTCAGAGCATGGAGCTGTCAGTTCTTTCATGGTTTTCTGTTCCCAGTGAGCTCACTAATTGAAATTTGTGCACCTACAAGAGTACAGAAATGTGCGGTAGCCAGAGGTGCTAATCTCCCTGACACACCTAGAGCTAATGAAGACTTTCTATAGGAGAATGTCTTAGTACAGGGAACAGTATAGGATAACCTTCATGCAAGCCAATGGGGCAACTGTGTTATGTTTGCAAAATGAATTTCCATTAAAAATTATATGTCTGCAGAATACTTGTCATGAATGACAACTATAAGCTAGGAGTACTTATTAAGAAGGCTGGACTTTGGTTAGGTGAAGCTTGTCAGATGTAATGATATTTTGTCTTATGTAATCCTGTTTTCTTGATAAGGTATTCTCTAATGCTATTTATAATGTTCAAGGAAACCTGAACTTATAATGTTCAACTCTCTTTTAAAGCTAAATTTTGTCTTTTTTCTATCTTAGTAAGAGTTGGCAAGACTGAGACTGCTATTTGTACGGACAGATAGCAAAGATGATGAATAGCCCAGAAGTTTAGTTTTGTTTGAACAGCTGCAGTATTTACTTTAATACGGACTGAAATATCCATGTCTGGGGTTATATTTGTTTTCCTGGATAGGCAAGATGTCATTCTTCACTTGAGTGAAACATCAAACATCAAAGAAAATGTAGAAAACAGAGCTTATAACCCTATGTTAGTCTGCTACTAGGGGAAAAAAAATCTGAGAAAGCTGGACAAGTTTTCTTGTATACAAGGATAGAAGTTGTCCTTGATGGTAGTGTTGGATTCCATTGTCCTAAATTCTTGAAATTAGATTTCTCCCTGACCTGGCTTTCATCCACCAGCTTTGACCCTTGAGATTGTGTTTTCATGACAAGTTTTTTGTCCTCTCGGAACTGATAGTTAATAAGGACATTAAAAAAAATTACTCAGCCTTCGTTGAATCTGTTGAAACTCATAATCTTTTATCTGCATGTTATGTTAATCTTTTCTGTATTTATTTTGCAGGATGTTGTACTTTCGATGAGCCATTTAGCACCTGTGGCTATAGTCAGTCTGATGATGATGATCTTAACTGGGACCAGGTGAACACGCTGACAAAACCCACCTCAGATCAATGGATGCCTTCTGGTCAGTTCTTTTATTTTGCTTTTTTCTCTTTGATGCTAGATTTTGTATTTATTTGGCATTTCTTCACAATGTTAGTATTATAATGTGACTTTGTCAAAATCTTTTTAATTGTAGTACTGAAATCTTCAGAACAGCTCCTGTGAGGGATGTTCTGCAATGCAAAGGCTTTCTTTTGCAGTGCAGTTTCTAAAATAAAGGTTAGAAAGTAGGAGTAGAAACTTTCTGTCATTGGGGAAAGCAGAAAGAATACAAAGTGATGTCATGAAAAATGAAGATGAAGCAGTGCTAGAATGAGGCAGACAAGACTATGTAATGGGGAGACTTGAAGAGAGGGAACAGTGAGAGATAAAAACAAAAATGGCCTGAGGGATTTTTGCTCAAAGTGATACTAATCAAACTCTGTTCTGAAAAGAAATGTAGAGTGAAAAGGAGTAAGAGGAAAAGGAGCGGTGAGATGTACCAAAACAAACTGCCTTGATAACATTCTCCTTGTTGTGTTTTGAAGACAGTTGTGATACTCTTATTTAATGCTCTTTGTATACTGTGTGTAGGTGAACCTAATTCCATAGCAACAGCCTTTGATGAACTATAAACTTTTCTGGTAACACAGTCTCCTTTATCACATCAATCATACAAATACAGACCAATCTGACCACTGACTTGAAAATATTAAACCTAAAATCAGTTATTCTTTTCCAAATTTTATCTAGACACGTTAAGAGTTCCCTACCATGGACAGGGGCTGATCTCTAGGATAACTCCATCTCCTGGATGCTGATTGCCTCTAGCCCAACTCAGAATATTCCTTTGCTTTTAGAGGCTGAGCCTAGTGTGACTCTTGTCCCTATAAATGGCCAAAAAAAAAAAAAAAGGTACTTTGGAAAATCACTGGTTTTAGCTTCTAGGGATTTCTTCTGCATACTATGTTGTGGTTTTGCATGATTATACTGAGAATGCTCAAAAACTTCACAGATGGATGTGCTAATTGTTTCATTAACATCCATTTCAATTAAAGGACTTGTCATGATGTACTTTGGGGTTTACATAAAATCTCTTGAATAGTTGTCCTTCCTAAGAAAGTATTCCTTCCTTCCTTTTGAGTTGAGTAAGGAAATTAGGATTTATTATTAGAATTTCACAGCATGAAACTTTCGAAGTGACTGTATAAACAATAGGCACTAATCTATAATATGTGCTAATGAGCCCTAGATATCATTCACTTGTAAAAAATCCTCTTAGCAGTTGTTGTTATAGATTTATTATTGTTGCCTGGTGTTGGGGACACTATTGTATCTGAAGTTGACAGTTGAAGTGCTGCTTCCTTCTCCACTGAGCTTCCTGTGGAAAAGGTGAGGCTCTCCACTTGAACAGAAGTGTTTGGTTTGCCTGCATGCAATTGACATGCTAGATTGAGTTCACAACCACAGATAAAGAAGGCTCTTGCAGAGTTCTTTTGAAACAGGCTCTCATCCAGTGGTGCTGGCATGGACTGCAAGACTTTTTTTGGACTGTTTCATCAGTGCTTAAAACATGTCTCAAGTTGGAACTCATACACGTAGTTATCAGTCATCTTAGCCTGCAGTACAAGCTATACATTCTTTTTCTCAATCACACCAATGGAAATTCTCTTTCTATTCCAATTTTCATTTACTTGGATTTTGCAAAAGAGGTTGTCAGTATGTGTTGTATATATTGTTCAGTCTACATGGCAGCTAAGAGAGGTTGAACTGTATGTCCTTTTCTCTGATGATTAGAGACTAAGATTTTTTTTTCCACCAGAGGCAAGAGTCCAGCCAAAGTAAGGACTGCTATTTTTATGGAAGGAAAACTATGTCCGTGTAATTTTATTTCTATTATGTCATATGGATTGTTTCTTTTTTGTCTTCTATCTTCTATCAGAATACTGAAATCATGTTCTGTTGATTAAATAGATGATAAAATTGGAAATAAACTATATTTAGAGCATGGGGAATTTCATTTCTGGGAGTTCTAGGTCAGTAGACAAACATGTTACTTTGATAAGGGTTGTTAATATTGTTGCCCTAAAAGGTCAAAAATCCTCTTTGAGAAGGAAAGAAATGTTCATTACTTTTTTTTTTTTGTAAAGAAGCAGCATTTTTTATGTTTCAGTCAAGTAATAGCTAATTTTTCTCTCCATCTCATTCAGACGGTTTTTTTCTTGTTCTTGTTCAAATCATCATCTTAATGATTTTAATTAGCTTTCAGTTAACCTTAGCCTGAACGTTATGTGATACACTTAAAAATATATATATTAAAAAATGATTCCAAGTAGTTTGTCAGCAGTTTCTGAGCTGTGTATTTTAGGAAAAATAACTTCAGATAATAATGAATAGAATGTCTTAGATTACTGTTTTGTGGGGAATTCTTGGCTTGAAAACAAAATGCTTAATGCGACATATTGTAATATTAGACTGAAACAAGTACTCCCAGTTCCGGAGTCCCTTGTCAGATGAAAGAATTAATGCACATAACATTCCTAATTTCCAAGAATATGTGTCAGTGAGTGAGTTGGTATCAATATATATAGTATTTTATATGATTTGGTGACAGTGGGGGAGACAAGTACACTAGTTATGGCATCTGATCTATTTTAATCCACATGAGACTGTTGAGGGGAGCTGTACTTTAGTTTGATAAATGTTTTGGCTTTATATGTTTACTTGAGTGGGAGAGTAGTGTCATGTAGCATTTATATATATATATACACACTATATATTTTATTGAATATTAGTAGCTCTTTCTGAGGTGTAGTTTTGGATAAAAATTGGTGGATTATTAAAAACATAAAAAAATAAGTTTTTCTAAGTGTTCAGCATGTTGAGATTTAATCCGTTTTGGATTATTACTCTAGTAGAAACATATGAGGTTATCCTTACTAAAGTAAGCATGACGTTAGCTCCCTAATTGTCTTGATAAGTGTAGGCATGACTTTTAGTGAGCATTACTAGTCTGACAATGTACCAAACAGAGTCAAGAAAGGAATGACATGTATACATTTGTGTATATTTGTATGGATTGAATGAGGCTGGTTAATCTACTCTTCTGTTTTCATCGTCTTGTGAGTCAGCTGGACTAACTGCTGTGGGAAATTTGGCAGTTCCCTTTCCTCAGTCTGTCTTTTTCCTTTTCTTTTTTCTTTTTTTTTTTCTGTTTCAAGGATATGTTTATGGTATTGTTCAAAAATATAATCTGGAAACCTTTACTATTAATATTATCATACCTTGTCCTGTAGGACAGTTAAAGCATGTACAATAATGTTAATGTGTGCATGTAATACAAATTTACAATATCTAACTGTAAGCTTTCCAGCTGTAGAGCGGTAAAGATGTCTTCATAAAGAAAAATACATCAAAATGGTAGATTACTGTATCTGTACAGCAAGGATTTGGTAGCAGGAGATGTGTTCAGGGGTGGCTTCAGGGACAATTTCAGGAATATCTACAAACCATGTCTTTGTATTTGGAAAGCAGTTGCAAAGATCCCTTTTCCAAAGCTGCTTTTTTTATTTCCACTTGAGTTTCTCTTACTGCCTTATGTTGACATGAGTATGCATATACCTGTTTTACTTTCTCTGCAACACAATGGCCAATCTTTATCATCTGAATTTTCAGGGAAAGGTCTTGTTTTTCCTTCATATTGCCTCATCATTGGAAGGGTGGTCCCTATATATTTGTGTTTATCTGTACTATCTCGTTGTTCTTAATACTTCAATTTGCCATTATGTCTGTTAAAAAGAAAAATGCCTAAATCCCTTCCCATTGGTAATACTGTTTCATTATCTCATTTTGTTACTGTCTTATCTTCTTTTTATAGAGTAGTTCTCATTCTGAGATCCTTTGATAATGTAAATAAAAATAAAGTGTCCACTGGAGTTTTTCTTCCTGCATTTCTATTTTTGGTTGATTCTCCAGATGGTAATTTCTTTCTCTGAATTTTTCCAGCTGCGCTCTCACTCTGTAAGCCCATTTATGATCATGTACAGTCAAATTCATCTTGGCCTAGCAGCACTTTGGAGTTGTGGTGTTCCCACAGGGTGCTCTTTTGCTTTACATGATAACTCAAAATGCATGCTGAGTGCGTGAGGCTGCTGTAGAGATACCATCTCTGTTATCTGACAGTCACTCAGAGTAGCACAGGTACATCAGTTTTGTCCTAGAAGGGGAGAAGAACCGAAAACACTGGAGGTGTTGGATGAAGAGTGAAGGGAAAAATAAAACAAGTATGTGCAAGCTGGAGACTAAATAAGTACATAAATATATATATATATGTACACATGTATGCATGCTTAGATTGCTAATCGCAGTTTACATACCAGTTGTTCTCACTTAAGAGAATGAGAATGCAGGACCAGAGCTGTGGAACAGGTGACTGAATTAGATCTTATTGAGTTCTCAGCTCTTGCCCTGTTCATTATCCAGAGAAAGTTCAGATGAGTTTAAAAAAACCCAAAAACCTATGAAACTACACCAAAACAAAACTGCTCCAAAGCAAAACACAACAAAAATAACAGGAGAATTGAAACTTAAAATCAGGAAGTATTTTTGAGATGTGTATTGCATTTATATATCATGAGTCTTGTCATTGACAGTGATGCAAACAGAGTCTCACAGATTACTGTGAGAAATACAGATATTGTCGACAGTCAGCTCTACACATTGTTTGCTGGAAATAGTTTCTGCTCGTGTCCATGTATTAATTTTGTTGCAAAACACTGTGTTCAGCTGTAAAATCCTCCTACAGTATTTCACAGTTCCAGTTAATTTTGAAGGAACAGAAGCATCATTTTTCTTCTATTGGTTTGATATCACCAAAGGGATGTCAATGCACTGACACTGAGTCACTGGCATCAGTCTTTCATTCAGTTTAGAACAGTGCAAAATCAATTATAAATCAAATCTTCACAGACTGCCGCCATTCAGTGGATTGAAAGGAGATTTTGAGCAGTGAAGACTTTAATGTTTGATATAGTGCTGGTCAAA